AGAAGCAGGCTTCCCGCTGAGCAGGGAGCCCGATGAGGGGCTTGATCCCAGGACTCTGGGATCATGACCTGAGCCAAAGGCAGATGCTTGATGACTGAGCCACCCAGGCGCCCCTAAACCCCTGTTTCTTCTTGCTCCCAGTCCTTGGACTAATCATTCTCTAACCTGTCCTCCTCCTTCAGGCTCAGGTATCTTCTTCATGGGGCTCCCTTACATACTGAGCCTGATACTTTAATAAACTAAGACTGCGAGGGTGCCAGGCCTGGCAAAGAGAGGAAGGGAACTTCGAATAGCATCATGGAGGGTCTCCTGTGAGCCACGCATGACTCCAGGCACACTACACGCTTCCCAGCTTCACATCTGAAGTCAGGGGCAGGCAGGCAGGCAGGTGTGCAGCTGGGGACGGGTATGTGGAAGGACCCTTTCATTAAGAGTTCCTAGGGAAAGATTGTTTCTCCAATTTGTTTAACAATTAACTGGGATCTTCTCATGTCAGGCTCCTGCTAAACTAGATATTCTTTCTAGTCCTTCCCTTTCCTAGTCTCTCTGAGGCCTCGAAAATTAAAATTGGAGTGAAACCAGAGATGGCTCTGAAAAAATATTCCATCCTAGGTGACTTATTCTTAAAAGGGCCTTGTGCAAACTGTTAACAATACTGAACCCAGACGGAATGATATCAATTCTCTGGGAAATGAACTGTGAAGAGAACCATCATTTTTTTGAGCATCTACTATGTGATTTGTATATTAATCCCATCTCATATTCACAGTAAGCCTGTGATACATTGAAATTACTTAAAAATAGTATTCACTGCAAAATGCAGAAAAGCTAACTACAGTGACTTAAAAAATTAAGTAGTGCAGTAGGTGATGCTGGCATCGATTCAGCTTCTCAGTGATGACATCTAGTGATGACAACTAGTTCCTTTTTCTGCATCATTAACCTTAGCAAGTTGACATTCAGTCTTATGCTTGTCGTCTCTTAATTGCAAGATGGCTGCCTCAGCTCCAGATATCACTTCCACATTCAAGGTAGAATTAAGAGGGAAGTACAGGGCCGGCCACATTAGTCTCCATTTTATCAGGAAAGCAGAAACTTTCCTAGAAACCTGCTCATGAGACTTCTACATAGGTATCATTGGCCAAAACTGGATCGCATGGATACCTTTAGTTGCAGAGGAGCTGGAGAAAATCAGAATAGAACTGTCAGGTGCCCTTAGACTACAGATGGGCAAACAACAACCAAATCTGGACCACGGCCTGTTTTTGTAAATAAAGTGTGGTCTCAACACAGCCACACGCATTCATTTATGTACCGTCTCTGGCTGTTTTCATGCAACAGCGGCAGAGTTGTGGCAGAGTCAAGGGTCTGCCAAGTCTAATTATTTACTATCTGCCCTTCTGCAGAAACGTTTACCAATTTCTGCCATAAGCCACTCATGAGCCATCACCTAGGTTAGGCACTTCTCTTCTGAAAACAAAACTGGGGGAGCCTCAAGAACAACAAGAAGAGGACACTGTCATTGGGTAGGCCACTAACATTATCTTCCAGACACAGCCACTGTTACTTGTTTTAGATGAGGAGATTGAAGACCAGAAAGGGAAGTAAACTGCCCAAGGGCTCAAGTTGAATGAGCACGGTCCAAGTTCAACTAAGGGCTCTCTGAATTCATGGTTTTCTGATCATATCCTATTTTTGTGAGTTTTCCCATCTGTGAAGGAGCTGTGAGATACTCACCTGTTATTCAATTCAGTTCTTAAATGAGTTGTACAAAAGGGCAGAGGGCCAATGGATCTATCTTAATAGGTTCGCAAGATAATTACGCATTTATTTTTAAATTGTATTTTTTTCAAAGATTTTATTTATTTGACAGAGAGCAATCACAAGCAGGGGGAGTGGCAGGCAGAGGAGAGGGAGAAGCAGCCGCCCACCCTCCCTCCACTGAGCCAGGAGCCTGATGCGGGACTCGATCCCAGGACCCTGGGATCATGACCTGAGCCGAAGGCAGATGCTTAACCGACCGAGCCACCCAGGCGCCCCTTAAATTGTATTTTAATACTCATTTCCCATCTGATTCTCTTTCAACTATGCGTATACACAAGCTGATAGACCCTGATCTACTTTAGATAGGTTTTTCTCATCTTTTCTCCCCAGCACTTGACATAGTGCCTATCATGTAATGAGGGCTCAATACATTTGTTTGTCGTACCCCCTACTCCATAATGTCTCACACCAAGTAAATATATGCTATTCATGGTTGCATATATTATGTCCCCGGTGAGGCTGTTAATTACATCAGTGGATACCCACTGTGCAGTCAACGTAGACAGAATGACAGAATGACATCCCTGCCCTCACCCTTGGCCCCTTGGAACTGAAAGTGATTGCAGTTGTCATATTTAAGGGCAGCAGGAGTCACCTTTGGCCTGGCCGGCCAATGTCATCTGTTTGTGGCCACAGCATCCATGTCAAGCTCGGGCTTCAAACTTGGGCTGCCTCTGTCCCTTCATTTCCTCTGCCTGGAAACAAGAGCATGAGGAGTACAAGAGCCAAGAACAGCACACTCTGGGACAAAGGAAAAGGGCAAAGCTTTGAGATGACGAAAAGGAGGGCTTTCACAAATCCATGTTTCTTCTTTTTTCCTCTCCTTTTCTCCACAACTCAATCTAAGGGGAACCGGGAGACACCACGTCCCTTCTTCCCATCTTCCATTCCAGAAATCTTAGGCTTCCTCAAATGCTCTCCACCTCTCTTGCTTGCAGGAATTAGCCATTTCTTTAGCCTGGAAGACCCTTCTTCTCCCCCACCCCCTTCACCCTCATCAAGCTAACTCCACTTCTGAGGACTGACTTTGGAGTCGCCTTTCTCCAGAAAGCCTTCCTCCATTAGTTGACAATGCCCCCTGATATCACAGCCATAGCCTTCTGTGCGCTGGACCTAATTGTCTGCCTCTTTGTCTCTCGTATGAGTCTAGAAGCAAAACCGATGAGGGGCCACATCCGGCTTATCCTCCACGCTCAGTTAATAACCAGCAAAGCAAAGAATGAAGAACAGGACGAAGAATTCATCGAGCTCCTCGGCCTTCCCCTGGACTCCTACCCACCTGTGATTCCCTCTTCCTGGAGGTTTCTATTTGCTCCTCAGACTGAGGAAACTGTTAAGCTGAACAAGTATCTTTGTTTGGAGATTGTATCTGCGTCCTTCACCACAGGGTGTCATTTTCCTCCATCTCTCCAGCCAGGCATTCCTCAACTGCCAGAGCTGCGCACCTCAGCTCTTGAAGTGGTGGAGCCTGGCGTCCTGGACAGAGAGCAAAAGCTCCAATGTAATCTCGCCTTCTTTCAGGGCCGCTGACCAGAGGGAACAACAACAACAAAAAAGCACTGATTGGGCTCTCCTGATGCAGACCAGCCAGTGGCTCTGTAGTTTCCTTCTGTGTTTAAAATTCCTTATCTGGCCTTGCTAGCAAATCAGCAAGCCTGCAGGTCAATGCGGGATTATCTCCAGAGCTGGTGCTTCAAAGAGATCGGTGCACACCATTCCCCTGGGTCAGATAGCTGTGTCGGCAAGAGGCGAGAGGCCCCGCGTAATTGGGAGCACTCAGCTCCACACATAACACAACCCATTAGCTGTTTTTTAAAAGCAAGGTTTCTTTTTATTTCTTCCCATTATAAAGTGAATCAGTGCTCATTATTAGAAAATCTGGCAAAAAAACAAAAAATGGAAAGAAAAAAATTCCTTAACGATTTAGCATATTTGATAGGTCTTGCTTTAAGTCTTTTACTAGGTTACTTCTTCAATAGTTGTGATTATATACGTTTTGCAATAAGTATAAATTTGTATTCTGGCTTTTTTTAATTTAAAAATAGAATAGGAATATTTCCCTGATTTTTTACATTCTTGGATAAATAAAATTTCCATGGTAGCATAATATGTATCATTGATTAATTTGTTTCACTGTTTCCTCATTGTTAGGTATTTACATGGGTTCCAGTACTTTTCATCTGAATTGTCATGAATGCCATTGAGCATAAGGTCTTTTCTATATGTTTAATTCTTTCCTTAAGCTGGATTCCCAGGAGAGATCAAATGATAGGAATATTTAAGTTCTTGGCTTATATCACAGGACGATTTGATAGAAAGTTTCTACCAGCTTATGCTTGTGTCAGCATGTTAGAGAACGCCAGTATATTTCACCCTAACCAAAACTAGATAGTCTCCTTTGATATTGTATAGTTTTCTTACTTGATAGGAAAAAAAAAATCATCGGAGGTGTAACTTGCATTTCTTCCATTATTTATGAGGTTAAGTATTTTTTCTCAAGTAAGTGTTTCTTCTTGGACATCATCATCTATTTATATCCTTTTCCCCCATCTTCATTTGGTCCTTGAATAGTTTTCTTGTTAATTTTCATGTGCATTAACTCTTATCTTACATATATACTATAAATACCATCTTTTCATTTGTTGTTTTCCATTTCATTTTGGTTTGTTTAGGATTCAGAATAACATTTCTTGTACTTCAATGTATTCCTTTTTAACTTCACGTTATCTTTTGTGACTTTGACACTTAAATAGCCTTCCTCCCAGATATTGGATAACCATTCTTTTCTTTGTTTGCTTTGATTATGTTTGTTTGTTTGGCTCAGGAGGGTAGTGATTAAGACCGAAAAATCTAGAGTGAGACTTCCTGAACTCAAATACCAGCTCTACCACCCACCAGCTCTACAATGTGGGTCAAGTTACTTAAACTCACAGCACCTCAATTTTCTCATGTGCAAAATGGGGACACTAATGTACATGCAACTCACACAGTTGCTATGATGATTAAATTTGGTAATATACTGGGGCGCCTGGGTGGCTCAGTCAGTTAAGCGTCTGACTCCTGATTTCAGCTCAGGTCTTGATCTCGGGGTCGTGAGTTCAAGCTCCATGTTGGGCTCCACGCTGGGCATGGAAACCTACTTAGCAAAAACAAAATAAAATTAAAAATTAGGTAATATATGTAAAGCACTTAGAACTGTTCTTAGAGGCTTATAGTAAGTGCTATGGAAGTGCTGTCTATTAATATTTAATTATTGTAGATTTATATTGTTTTAGAATCTGTTAGAGCTACAGTCTCTTTTCCTGTTTTAAAAAATCACTTCTTTTTCAGAAGTTTCTTGGATAGTTGTACCTACTTGCTTTTCAGGATGAAATTTCAGTCATGTTCTGAAGAAGATTTCCAATGAGAATTGTAGGGGCCTGCTTCATCTACTTTTATGTGGCCTCTACAAATCTGTATAGCATGGTCAGAGGCAGGGGTGTTGTGGTTTAGAGTAGGAATTAAAGCATCAGATACACCTGGGTTTGTGTGCATCTCAGTTCTGTCCCTTTCTAGCAGACAGGTTACTTCCCTGAGATTTAGTTTCCTTATCTCTAAAACAAAACAGAAGTAGTAATAATAGAAATTGCCATAACCCAAATGTCCGCCTACTGATATATGGATAAACAAAATATGATACATCTATACAATGGAATATTCCTTGGTTATACAAAGGAATCAAGTATGATATAGGCTACGACACAGGTGAACCTTGAAAACATGCTCAGTGAAATAAGTTCACATATTGTGTGATTCCATTTATATGAAACATACGAAATAGGCACATCTGTAGAGATAGAAGGTAGATTCATAGTTGCTTAGAGCTTGAGTAGATGGGGAAACTGGAAAGTAATAATGAAGGAGCCTCGTGAAGTCTCAAATAGTTTGAACTGATTGATGTAGGAAGATTGTGTGTCTGCAGCCTTATTGCAAAGGAGACAGACTACTACATTGGAAAATTTGCAACTGAAATATGGGAATTTCCCCTAACATAGAAAGGCTATGCAGAAGACACTGGTCAATCATGATCATAATCTCTACCTACTGTAAGAACAAAGAAACCCCCAGAAAACCCAGAATCTAAGGTGTGGGCAGAGGAAGAGGATCCAAAGAAGAATACCAAGGAGGAAAGATGATAGAGATGGGAAGAAAATTTAAAAAGAAAAATAAGGAGGGCGCCTGGGTGGCTCAGTCAGTTAAGTGTCTGCCTTCAGCTCAGGTCATGATCCCAGGGTCCTGGGATCGAGTTCCTCATCGGGCTACCTGGTCAGTGGGAAGTCTGCTTCTTCCTCTCCCTCTGCCTCTTCTCCCAGTGGTACTCTCTCTCTCTCAAAAAAATAATTAAAATTTTTATTGAAAAAAAGACAGAAAAGTAATGGAAGAAAATTGATCAAAGATTTTCAAGAAGGAGAGAGCAGTGATCAAGAGGATTAGTATTATACAGAAGGCAAATCAAATAAAGGCTGAGAATTATCCACTGGCTTTAGCCATTAAGAGGTCATTCATAGCCTTGGTAAGAGAAGTTTAATTGGTATGGTGAGGAGGAACCCTAACATCAGTGGGCTGAAAAGGAAGTGGAAGATGATGTGGTAAAGATATATACTCTCTCAAGATTTGGGGATCTCGTCTCAACATGTGCATGTTGTAATAAACATCACATTTAATCCTTGTAAAGTCTTATGAGGTAAGGACTGTTATTACCCTATATTATACATGTAAACAGGCTTTAAAACCCAACGTCATGTGAGAGGCAGATCTGGGTCTCACACCCCAACCTGTTTGACATCAGAGTCAGAAAGAACTCAGGCACTCGCTCACACTGCCAACATTTATAATAGCTGTGTGTTTTAGGGCAATCCCCATAATCACAGATTCTCAGAATAGGAAGAGATGTGAACTCTCTTTCTCTTCTTGGTCCTACTTCGTAGACCCTTAAAGTCAGAATATATCTGTACCCCATCCTCCCATCATACAATGTTTATTCCTCTGTTGTATTTTTTTTTAATAATTTCTCCTTTTTCTGCTAATAGAACTCTGATTTTTTTCCTTTGAGGATTCATCCATTCTCTCAACCTTGGTCCACTTGCTTTGGCAGGTGCTGACTCCAGCCTTGTCCCCAGGGCTGGGCAATTCACACAGTCTTCAACAATTAGAACATGGCATCCCTGTGGCCACTGTGAAAAGTTTAGGGAGAAGCTTGCAAACAAATCCAAGCCACTGCAATTCACATCTGAAACTTACATCACCCTGTTTTGGAAGAGAAGTCCTATTTTCTGTTAGACTTCTATCTGGGTGAAGACAGACCTGGAGCTGTGGGAAGCCATCTTTCCTTCACATAAACTCTGCAAGTGAAGCATACACTTGGGAGAACAGATCCAAAAGGTGGAGAGAGTTGGGGTCCCAATGAGTACTTAGGTCAAGCCTTATTTAAGCCCAACACTTCTTGCCTTTTCATTACATGAACTAATTATTTTTGTTTGTTTGTTTAAGTCCATTTGAATGGGATTTTTCTCTCACTTGATGCTAAGAAAGAGCTAACGCATAACTTATCACTGCCTGCCTTGTAGTTTCTCCTCCAATAGAATGTTAGCCATAGAGTGCTTTAATCCTGCCCGTATTTCTCTTTGTACTCCACCCCACCAATGCCTAGGATGACATCTTGTATGCAGCAGGTATTCAGTAAATGCCTGAGGGGTTTAGTAGAATTGAGTGTGGACTGATTCTGCAACATTCCCCAAAGTTGCTTCAGAAAGACTTCCTTTCTATTAAGCTTGCTGATGGTCACCTTTGTCTACTAACCACAAAAGTAATCTGCAGAAGACATTCCAAATATTTGATCTTTCTTTTTGTTTGAATTCATGTTGAACTGGAATTTAGTGTAAACATATACCTGGAATGCTCACTACACACTCCAGCAAAATAGCTTGGAAGACGAAGAGTGCATTGCTCTATCGGTGGCTTAATAAAACGATTTGTTTACTTTCTGTCCTTTGTAAAAAAAAAAATAATAATAACTGGTTTTTCTCTGGGGCTTGATTCCTTTCACACAAAGAGACTGACATCCTCTCAAATAAAAAAGGGCTAGAGAAGTAGGACACTTTATGTTTATTATTGTGAACGTTTTGCAGCAATTCTCTACCAAAATGGCCATGACCTTTGCAGTTATACACAGTTTAGGATTCGTAATATAGATTTTTGTAATAAAGGACCATTCCTGGCCAAGAGAGAAAGGATAGAAGCCTTTTTTAAGAAAGGAGCAAGTCTGGAAATCAGAGGTCAAAATGAGATGAAATTAGGTAGTGTGGTCAATTCAGGGCAATGTGAATGTGGGTTCTCTGAGGCGTGGTGGAGGGGGGGCACTGCCGAGCATCATGGGCCAGGAGCCCAAGAGGAAACAGTCAAGGCAGCACTGAGGTAACAAGGGACTGGAGGCTGCTGCCACCTCCATCCCCATTCCTGATTGTGACTTGTTTGGCCTCAAATCACAGCTGCCTTTGATGTATATATTTATTGAAGTACCCACTAGCAACTCTACAGCTTTGGAAACTACTTATCTCCATTAAAAAGGCATCTGCCATCTCTCCACCCATTCATTCATCTGTCCATCCATTTATCCAATGGTTCATTCAACTAGGATTTGTTGAGTTCCTCCTATTGCCAGGCCATATGCCCAGTGCTCGTTCTGTGGTAAGCTTGCTTCTGCTGTAAAAGATCAAAAACCTTCCTCACAAAAACCTTATCTAAGCATGAACACGCTCACTTACCCTGCTCACTATGTAAAAGAGAACAGAAAGGAATGCTTTTTCTTATATTGGGGTTGGATGGGCATTAGACTTTTCATTGGGGTCCATAATGGCCGTGTTGAATACCCATGACTTATCATGGTACACGAGGCTCTCCAATCTGATCCTGACCCTGTGACCTATTTCCTCTCTTATCACTTCCTACTCTATCAAAACAACCATTCCAAATTTCTGAGCATTCCCAGAACATATCATGCTTTTGTAAGCCTCTGTCTTTTTGTAAATGTGGGTCACTTCACTTGGAAAACCCCTACCCATCCTTTAT